CTAATCGTTTAACGTGTGATCTTTAATCGTTTAACGTGTGATCTTTAATCGTTTAGCGTGTGATCCCTAATCGTTTAACGTGTGATCTTTAATCGTTTAACGTGTGATCTTTAATCGTTTAGCGTGTGATCCCTAATCGTTTAACGTGTGATCTTTAATCGTTTAACGTGTGATCTTTAATCGTTTAGCGTGTGATCCCTAATCGTTTAGCGTGTGATCCCTAATCGTTTAGCGTGTGATCTTTAATCGTTTAACGTGTGATCTTTAATCGTTTAGCGTGTGATCCCTAATCGTTTAACGTGTGATCTTTAATCGTTTAACGTGTGATCTTTAATCGTTTAGCGTGTGATCCCTAATCGTTTAGCGTGTGATCCCTAATCGTTTAGCGTGTGATCTTTAATCGTTTAACGTGTGATCTTTAATCGTTTAACGTGTGATCTTAATCGTTTAGCATGTGATCCCTAATCGTTTAGCGTGTGATCCCTAATTGTTTTGCGCGTGATCTTTAATCGTTTAGTGTGTGATCTCTGATAGATTAGTGTGTGATTTCTAATCGATTACCGCGTGATCCCTAATCGATTACCGCGTGATCCCTAATCGATTACCACGTGATCCCTAATCGTTTAGCGTGTGATTCCTAATCGTTTAGCGTGTGATCTCTAAACGTTCAGCATGTGATCCCAATATTTCAGTCACCCAAAAAATCAGCAAAAAACAGTCGGACAGTGTGAGATGGCCAGTCTTTATAATCTGTTCAGACTTCAGTCGTTGTGTAGTGACCCGAGGCTTTAGCAGTGAAAACCAGTAACTGCAGTTAAGAGTGAATCACAGAGAAGAAAAGACGTCATAAAGAGACGTTTTAGCTTTTTTTAAAGCATTGTTCATGGATAAATAGTGATCAGTCACAGCTCGGTGCTGTGTGTGTTGGTCTGTAGAGGATTTCAGGAGCTGAAGTGCTGATGTTGGCGCTTCATCGTCAAACATAGTGAACTTCAGACTTTACACTGAGTGTGAACCGTCAGTGAGGTCATTAGATTTATATACACTCTTAAACATGGTTCTTCAAGGGTTACAGGTAATAGTTTTATATAGAACCATTTTTATCCATTATTGGTTCTCTGTATGAAGAAATGGTTCTGTATAGCGCCAAAAAGGGTTCTTCAGCTGTTACAAGCTTACAATAACAGAACCCTTTCTGGTGCTATTTAGAACCATATACAACACATTCTCCATCAATCTAAAGAACCGTTTCACCATGCAGAGAACCATTTACACATGCAAATGGTTCTGTGAGTGTTCATCGTTCTGTACAGAGCCATTGTCTTTACCAAAGAACCTTTGAAGAACCATCCGTTTGAAGGTGTACACGTTGCTGTGTAATTCCGTGTGAGCTGAACAGTCCGTTTTTTCTGACGGTCAGTAAACATCCTCACAGCAGCGTCTCTCACAGAAATTCCCAACCAGGCTGCGTATTCCGGATTTCCTCCTGGCTGACAGTAAACGCTCCGTTTGCTCAGGAGTCGTGATAAGTGATCATTGGATGCATCACGATATAAGCTTATCAGATTTAATCATAATTTGGTTAGATTTTTTTATCCTATCATAAAACAGTGTCTCGGTCATCAGGCAGTGAATTCATAACCCTTTCATGTAGGAACTTTCTGTGAGGGAGCTTTTAGAGGTGGACGTCTGGTTCCTATCACAATCTGTCAATCTCTGACACTCAATTCAAACCTGCAGCTGTGAGGATCCGCAGGGCTGTGGCTGTAACGGAGCTGGAATGGTTGGACACAGTAATTAAAGGGGGTCCACGCAGTTTTGGCTGTGAAAGGAATGTGTTCAAACCAACTGCAGGGACTGAGCGAGAGCAGCAGGGCTGAACCAGACAGGCAGTGTGAACTCACTCTGAACTCGTCCAGTCGAATAATTGAAACTGCTGAAAGACGGCGAACGAGATCGTCTGCTGAAGGTGAAGCCCATCAGCGTCCAGTGGCTTTGACCGGACACAGTAAAAGGTCAGAGGACCAATTCAAATCGAGAACTTGCTGCATGACACGTCTGATTGGCTGATTGTGGATGGGTGGAGCCATTGAAGCAGAACGAGCAGGTGTTTTGTCCTCCGGCCTCAGCGTCCACCCTGATGTGTCCTGTTGCCGTGGGGGACCAACTACCTGCATTCAGAGCAGATGCTGTCTGGATGTGTGCGTGAGCCTCATATTAAACTCGTCTCCACGGCGCAAGGACAGAGCGCGTCCTCAGAGAGCGGCACTGCAGCAGCACTGAAACAGAGCGAGACGGCAGGCAGAGTGTGTGCAGCGCTGATGGTGACCGGCGCTCTGAAACGCTGCAGTCCGGAGCTGATTGTATTCTATGAAAGGGTTTTTTCGTGGGGTCTTGTGTCTCATTCACGTCTTATCAGCACTGGGCTTCAGGAGGGACGCTGGGCTGGACAGCCGTGATGACGGCACTCCGGTCTGCTGACCAGCTGAATCCCAGACAGTAAATAAAAGGAGAGCTCGACCTTCAAACTCTGCAGGAACCACTGAGGCAGTGTGATGCTGTTGTGTTGGTCAGTTTAAACCGGTCAGTTTGACTATAGTGTGCAATTTAGACCTGAAAGTAAACGTGAGTCGCTGTGTAAGAGTGTGTAAGATCAAGGAATTCGTCAGCTCACAGCTTTTATACACACACTTGCAAACACACACACACACACACACACACACACACACACACATGCTATTATATGCATACTCAACACACTAAATCACATGTACACTAACACCATACACACCAACACATACGTACACCAAAACACACTCACGCATACACACCAACCCACACACTAACACACTATCACACGTATGCTAAAGCACTATAACACACATACAGTAACACTATCATATACACATTAACACACATAGATTAACAAACATGCACACTAACAGTCACACTATACACACACTAACACATTAAAGCATGCACACTAACACAAAGCAAAACACTATCACAATCATATGTGTATCGTCACACACATCTGTGCACACTATCATGACTTGCATGCACAATCACACTAATCAGTTACATGTGCACTACCACACTATTACGTGTGTACATTTCCCAATCACACGTGCTCTACCACACAGTCACACGCACATTACCACACTTCCACTATGTCACCCTATCACGTGCATACCGTCAGTCACATGCACCATCACGCACACAATATCATAATCACACTCGCATTATTAAACTCACGCTGTCAGTTACATGTGCACTACCACACTATCACATGTGTACGTTTCCCAGTCAAACATGCACTATCATACCGTACCATGTACACCACTACATGGTTATACATCACACGGTTACACACACACTATCACAGTCACAGCAGGCTGGGATTGATGAAGACTATCTGTCTCAGTCTCTCTTTTCTCTGTCAGTCTCTCTCTCTCTTCTCTGTTAGTCTCTCTTTGTTCTGACAGTCTCTCTCTGTTTTCTCTGTTAGTCTCTCTCTGTTCTGACAGTCTCTCTCTGTTTTCTCTGTTAGTCTCTCTGTTCTGTCAGTCTCTCTTTTCTCTGTTAGTCTCTCTCTGTTCTGTCAGTCTCTCTTTTCTCAGTTAGTCTCTCTCTCTCTTCTCTGTTAGTCTCTCTCTGTTCTGACAGTCTCTCTCTGTTTTCTCTGTTAGTCTCTCTCTCTGTTCTGTCAGTCTCTCTCTGTTTTCTCAGTTAGTCTCTCTCTGTTCTGTCAGTCTCTCTCTGTTTTCTCAGTCTCTCTCTTTTTTCTCTGTCAGTCTTTCTCTCTTCTCTGTTAGTCTCTCTGTTCTGTCAGTCTCTCTCTGTTTTCTCAGTTAGTCTCTCTCTCTTTTCTCTGTCAGTCTCTCTCTGTTTTCTCTGTTAGTCTCTCTGTTCTGTCAGTCTCTCTCTGTTTTCTCAGTTAGTCTCTCTCTCTTTTCTCTGTCAGTCTCTCTCTGTTTTCTCTATTAGTCTCTCTGTTCTGTCAGTCTCTCTCTGTTTTCTCCGTTAGTCTCTCTGTTCTGTCAGTCTCTCTCTGTTTTCTCAGTTAGTCTCTCTCCTCTGTTAGTCTCTCTGTTCTGTCAGTCTCTCTGTTTTCTCAGTTAGTCTCTCTTTTCTCTGTCAGTCTCTCTCTGTTCTGTCAGTCTCGCTGTTTTCTCTGTTAGTCTCTCTCTGTTCTGTCAGTCTCTCTCTGTTTTCTCAGTTAGTCTCTCTCTCTCTTCTCTGTTAGTCTCTCTGTTCTGTCAGTCTCTCTTTTCTCTGTCAGTCTCTCTCTGTTCTGTCAGTCTCTCTCTCTTTTCCCTGTTAGTCTCTCTCTGTTCTGTCAGTCTTTCTCTGTTTTCTCAGTTAGTCTCTCTCTCTTTTCTCTGTTAGTCTCTCTCTCTTCTCTGTTTTCTCAGTTAGTCTCTCTCTGTTCTGTCAGTCTCTCTCTTCTCTGTTAGTCTCTCTGTTCTGTCAGTCTCTCTCTGTTTTCTCAGTTAGTTTCTCTCTTTTCTCTGTCAGTCTCTCTCTGTTTTGTCAATCTCGCTCTCTTTTCTCTGTTAGTCTCTCTCTGTTCTGTCAGTCTCTCTGTTTTCTCAGTTAGTCTCTCTCTCTTTTCTCTGTCAGTCTCTCTCTGTTTTCTCAGTTAGTCTCTCTCTCTTTTCTCTGTCAGTCTCTCTCTGTTCTTCTCAGTTAGTCTCTCTTTTCTCTGTCAGTCTCTCTCTCTTCTCAGTTAGTCTCTCTGTTCTGTCAGTCTCTCTTTTCTCTGTCAGTCTCTCTCTGTTCTGTCAGTCTCGCTCTCTTTTCTCTGTTAGTCTCTCTCTGTTCTGTCAGTCTCTCTCTGTTTTCTCAGTTAGTCTCTCTCTCTTTTCTCTGTTAGTCTCTCTCTCTCTTCTCTGTTAGTCTCTCTGTTCTCTCAGTCTCTCTTTTCTCTGTCAGTCTCTCTCTGTTCTGTCAGTCTCTCTCTCTTTTCTCTGTTAGTCTCTCTCTGTTCTGTCAGTCTCTCTCTGTTTTCTCTGTTAGTCTCTCTCTGTTCTGTCAGTCTCTCTCTGTTTTCTCTGTTAGTCTCTCTCTTCTCTGTCAGTCTCTCTCTCTTTTCTCAGTTAGTCTCTCTCTGTCAGTCTCTCTCTTTTTCAATTGTCAGTCTCTCTTTCTCTCTGTCAGTCTCTCTTTCCTCTGTTAGTCTCTCTGTTCTGTCAGTCTCTCTCTCTCCTCTGTTAGTCACTCTCTTTTCAATTCAATTCAATTCAAATAACTTTATTGGCATGAATTGTAATGAATTGTTGCCAAAGCAATTAAAATATCCTAGTAGAATATGAAGATAATGGTGAAGAAGGAAATAATATATAAAAGAAAGACTAAAATAATAAAATATTCATATGTACATACACATATACATACATAAACATACACATTGTAAAATACACACAACATCAAATAAATAAATGATACGTTTCCATGGGATCAGTTTAAGGTGCTGTGTCACTCTGTTCTCTGCGTTTGTGGCAGCTGTGAACATATTTAGCTGATAGTTCAGCACATTCTGGAGTCTCTCCTAAACACACCCCTAACAGATCTTCTGTTTTAGTCGTTTTCTCTTTAAATGATGGGATATAAGTTTCAACTGAGCTGAATAATCTTCTCTGAGGTCTTTATATCGGTTACAGGAGGAGAGAAAGTGCTGCTCTGTTTCTGTTTGTCCTGAACTGCACTGATTACATACTCGTTCTTCTCTGGGCCTCCAGTGTTTTATGGCCTTTTTCTGTTTCTAAATTATGATCACTCAGTCTGAACATTGTTAAGATGTTTCTTTCTTTGGGGTTTTTATTTTGATCAGATAATCTGCTAGTCTGTATTCTCTCTTCAGGATCTGCAGCATTCTAATTTATTAACTGTGGCAATTTCATTGGTCCAATTATTGATATATTGTTTTTGGTATGTTTTGTGGATCATTCTGATCTGTGTTGGTGAGATGGTGGACTGGGCTGTGGTGTGTGTTGGTGAGATGGTGGACTGGGCTGTGGTGTGTGATGGTGAGATGGTGGACTGGGCTGTGGTGTGTAATGGTGCGATGGTGGACTGGGCTGTGGTGTGTGATGGTGAGATGGTGGACTGGGCTGTGGTGTGTAATGGTGAGATGGTGGACTGGGCTGTGGTGTGTGATGGTGAGATGGTGGACTGGGCTGTGGTGTGTGATGGTGAGAGGGTGGACTGGGCTGTGGTGTGTAATGGTGAGATGGTGGACTGGGCTGTGGTGTGTAATGGTGAGATGGTGGACTGGGCTGTGGTGTGTGATGGTGAGATGGTGGACTGGGCTGTGGTGTGTGATGGTGAGATGGTGGACTGGGCTGTGGTGTGTGATGGTGAGATTTTCCATTGGAGTCGTGTCCCATAATGTGTCTTTTTGATAAATTATTGGTTCACTACACAGGAGTATGGGTTTAATTACATATTTAAATATTTTCTCTGTCAGTATCTTTTTTCTCTGTTAGTCTCTCTCTCTCTCTCTCTCTCTCCCTTCTCTCTCTCCTCCAGATGAAGCTCGTCTCGCTTTGTTTATTTTCTGAATTCCCATTTCATCTCCTGCCAACCCAGTGTGTGTGTGTCTGTGTGTGCGTGTGCGCATGTGTGTGCGCGTGCGTGTGTTTGCATGTACGTGTGTTTGTGTGTTTACTTTCAGGCTTCAGTCTGCAAACGTGGCCTTCAGTTATTCTTCCTTTTATGTCTCTCTGTTCGTTCGTTCTCTCTCTCTCTCTCTCTCTCTCTCTCTCTCTCTCTCTCTCTCTCCAGCTTTTCTTTAATTGCTCACTTGGCCGTCTGCTGTTTTTAATTAGGTTGATTGACAGAAGCTGTAATCCTCCTCCTGATCAGAGCTGCTAATTATGAACCTGAGATTTATATCAGCGTGTGTGTGTGTGTGTGTGTGTGTGTGTGTGTGTGTGTGTGTGTGTGTTTGAGAGTGAAGAGAAGTTGTGTTTTTGAGAAGTGGTTATTTGCACCTGTCTTCCATTGTATATGCTCTCTCTCTGTCTCTCTCTCTGTCTCTCTCTCTGTCTTTCTCTCAGTGCGGCCCTCTAAGCCCAGGTGTTCTATTGAGGGTTCTGCTCAGGTGGGCAAAGATGTGGTTCTTAAGTGTAAGTCGTCTGATGGAACGAGTCCTCTGCAGTACATCTGGGACAAAACCAGCGGCAACAAACTGCTACCAGCTAATGCAGTACTGGGTAACACACACACACACACACACACAATACACCCACAGACAAACATACAGCGTGTGTGCGTGTGTGTGTGTGCGGCGTGTGCAGGTGTGTGAGCCGGTGTGTATTAAAGTGGTGTTTTCTGTCAGATTCTGTCGGGGGAACCATCAGCATCCGCAATGCCACTGAGGCTGTTTCAGGAACGTACCGCTGCACCGCCAAGAACCGCGTAGGAACCGATGAGTGTGTTCTAGAGCTCAACATTACACAACGTGAGTCTCTCTCTCACACACACACGCACCCACAATATGTGATTATCTATACAACTACACATACATATACAGACCCCAGTACAGACCCTCATACAGACCCCTATACACACCCCCAGTACAGACCCCTATACACACCCCAGTACAAGCCCTAATACAGATCCTCATACACCCTAGTACAGACTCCTATACACACCCCAGTACAAACTCCTCTAAACACCCCTATACAGACCTCAGGACAGACTCCTATACACACCCTAGTTCAGACCCCTATAAAGACCACAGTAAAGACCCCTGTACAGACCCCAGTACAGACCCCTCTAAACACCCCTATACAGATCCTAGTACAGACACCTATACACGCCCCAGTACAGGCCCCTGTACACACTCCTATAAAGACCACAGTATAGATCTGACACACACTCCACTCTCTGAAGGAGTTAAACTTCAGTGCAGAATATTAATCTGTAATAATTTTCCTCACTGTTCTGTCTTTATCTTCTCTCTCTCTCTCTCTCTCTCTCTCTCTCTCTCTCTCTCTCTCTCTCTCTCTCTCTCTGTGTCTCTCTCTCTCTATAGCTCCTAACACGGCTGGTGTGATCGCCGGCTCTGTGATCTGTGTGCTGCTAATTCTTATCCTCATCGCGCTAATCTTGTTCTGCTGCTGTCGCGCTCGTCAAAAGAAGAAGTACGAGAAGGAGATTTCCCACGAGATCAGGTATTGACCGCTTCATCTCGCACCGACCGCTTCATCTCGCACCGACCGCTTCATCTCGCACCGACCGCTTCATCTCTCACTGACTGCTTCATCTCTCACTGACTGCTTCATCTCTCACCGACCGCTTCATCTCGCACCGACCGCTTCATCTCTCACCGACCGCTTCATCTCCATGAGTGCTTCATCTCGCACTGACCGCTTCATTTCACACACACAAATGCGCAAACGCACACAAACACGCGCAAACACGTGTTTACAGGCACAGACACGCACATACGCGCAAACACACACAATCACACGCGCAAACACAAACAAATGTGCAAACACGCACAAACATGCACACACGCATAAACACACACAGACACGCACAAACACGCACAGTCCCGCAAACACACAAACACTCACAGGCGTGCAAACATGCGCAAACACACACAGATGCGCAAACATGCGCAAACACACACAGACGTGCAAATACACACACACAGACGTGCAAATACACACACACAGACGTGCAAATACACACACACACACGTGCAAATACACACAAAACACGAACAAACACGCACAGTCCCGCAAACACACACAAACATGCACAGACGAGCACAAACACACGCAAACATGCGCAAACACACACGCTAACATGCGCAAACACGCAAACATGTACAGGCGCGCAAACATGAACAGATGCGCAAATGTGCAAACACACACAGACTTCACCAGGGACACAAGACTAGAGACTCGACAGACGAATGCCGGCCTCACACCAAACAACTTTTCAAACAATTTCACTTTCACAGTTCACATTTTCAAATTTCCAATGTTGGAATAAAATCGTGTTGCGCTCGCGTCATCTCGATCGTTTAGTGTGAGGTGGTCAGGACGGATGTTTTAGGTCAGTCTTTTTCTTGTCTTGATGCTGCGACAAAATCAACTGTGTTTAATATTATCGTAAGTTTCAAGTCTTGGCTCATGCAAATACTGACGTGCCAGGGCTGGGAGAGAGAGCAAGTGCATGAGAGAGAGAGAGTGATAAAAAAAAAGAAAGAGAGAGAGAGAGAGAGAGATAAAGAGAAAGAAAGTGAGAGAGAGGTAAAGAGAAAGAAAGAGAGGTAAAGAGAAAGAAAGAGAAAAAGAGAAAGATAAAGAAAAAGAAAGAAAGAGATGGAGAGAGATAAAGAGAAAAAAGAGAGAGAGAGAGAGAGAGAGAGAGAGAGAGAGAGACAATGCATGCGTGAGAGCCTGAAATCAGTAATCATATAATTCTGAAAAATTAAGCTGGGTTAAACAGTTTCTTCTTTCTGTTACAGGGTTTCGTATTTTGTTAGTTTTTTATGGTTTAGTTCATAATATCCAATAAACATTGCTGAATCACTGCATGTTTCGCTGATGTGTAAATCTTTGTTAAATTAAAAAGTAACATTTTACAGGTTAATTAATAAATTCTGGGTGTTGATCTGCCAGAGTATACAGTTCTACAGTGAACTGGGCTGAGCCTCAGATCTTTACATGCCCAGTTAACGTATCTGTCCATTTGTGCTGCTATACAGTAAAGAACGAAAAAAGTGTTTCTCTGCTTGTAAATTTTTCCACCAGGTGCATGATGGGAAATACTCTCAAAAATCTAGTTGCAGTTTTGCAAATAGTGACTCTGCAAGATCCCCAGTGTTCGCAAAATCACAGTCTGTGACTAAAACTCTGATTGTCTTTAGGTGTGAGAGGATGTCTGACTTTAAAAAGACTAAAGTCTTCTAATGCACGGTTAGTATAAAGAGTCTAATAGTCTGAAAAGAGTCAAGAGAGAGAGGTGGGGGTGAGAGCAATCACAGGTGTCTTCCCCCCAAAAAACATATTTGTTCAAAGCAGTTATACCTTTATGCAAATTATATGTAAAATAGACAATCTACATACACAATTGCAGATTCATCATTAAAATTCAAAACTGCTATAATTGAAACTCAGAGTCAGAGAGACAGCGTCCCTTTCAATGACGTCAGCGAGAGTCGGTCAGTCAGGCTGAAAACCCCAAAGTGTCACCTTTCACCCAATTACACATACATTTATTAAGAATAATAATTGGCTATTTCTGGTATAACCCTGAGTTACTAAGATAAAATCTGATTCAGATCAATTAATCTGGATTAGTCCTACAGACCAGAGTCTTTTACCCAAAAAGCTTCCCAGGATTCTTAGTGGTTTTGTTGGTTTCTATTAACTCTTACTTTTCAATGAACATAATTCTCTGTGTAAAATGCTGTCAGAGCTCTCGTGTTCAGTGTTATGTGTAAATCAAACAAACAAAATATGGGACGAATAAATTCTGTTCATGACTCTGATTGGTTCCAGCCAATCTGCTAAAACAGCTGATCATCATAACAGGTTCTTATCTCATTCTTCTCAAGGAACATAACACAGACCTCACAGAGACACTAAGGCCAAAGAACCATGTTTCAAGGTGTAAGAAAAATATTCCATATCAAAAAGATTCAAATTTAGTTATGGGACATAATATCGCTTCATTATCTTAGCTTCGGAAACAGCTTTCAGAACTCTGAAGCGGCGCTGTCCTCTCTAACGCTGACGTGACGCTGTCCTCTATAGCGGTGATGCTACACTTTCCTCTCTCTGTGTCCTTGTAAGAGCACCTGCTGACCTGACTGGTGAAGAGAGGTTTACTGAGTAGAGAGAGAGACAGAGAGAGACAGAGAGAGACAGAGAGAGACAGAGAGAGAGAGAGAGGGGGGCTTTGAGCTGAATGCCGTTGGCTCCACGTCACCAAGTCTGTATCCGTTTGGTTTGCTCAGCTTTTTCTGCCTCTCCTCCAATCACAGCCCCCCTGCACACCCCCAACCCCACAGAGCTGATTCTCTGCGCTGCTGTAATCAGTTCTGCTCTTTTGTTTGTTCAGTCGGTACCACCACCCAAAGCGCCCCCCACATTCCTCTCTCTGTGAGAGGTGGGTGCGATTCAGAAGAGTAGAAAGGAAAATTGTGGGGGTGATGTGGGAGATGGGGGGTTAAGCGAAGTGGTGGGATGTTAAGGGGCAGTTGTGGTGGGGTTAGGGCCGAGGAGGTCAATCCCCCACTGGGCCTCTGCTCACCCCCCCTTTGTGCTCCCTCAGTCTGACTGGGACAAAGAGGATTAACCAAATGAGCCTGTCTCGCCCCCACTACCCCTCTCTCTCTTTGTCTGCTCTCTCTCTCTCTCTCTCTCTCTCTCTCTCTCTCATGGTTCAGAGTGGATTATTACTGACTGATTACTCGTTAATTAGTTAGAGATGCAGATAGAGAGGAACTCTGGATTGGCTGAGAATCTCATCAGCCCAACTGCTCCAGTCAGTTTTTACTTTGTGATGAAACTGTCATCAAAATAATGTGAAAAATGAGCAGAAAGACTTTTATTTTGGCGAGTTTATTCCACTCATATTTCAGTGTTTATTCCTGTGTTTTGTTACTGAGGTTATTGCACAGACTGGACTCATTTCCTGTGCAGTCTTAACTGGAACATCCACATATTGCAGTTTAATCTGTAATATTGACTGTTTAATCTGTAATATTGACTGAATTCCCTCAAATGCTGCTGTTTTCAGATCTCTCTGATCTCACATCACTCGCTGCTCTGAGCTCCATTATTAAAACTGTTTTTCTCAGAAAGCTAAAAAGCTCAGCCTGTAAAAATTCTTGTATTTATGAACTTGTTCATTTCTAACAGTATTTCTGAAGCATATTCCACAATAGTTTGTATTAGAATATTGATAGCTGGATTTATGATTTATTAAATACAAAATGTCCTAAAGATTGTTTAACAGTGCAGTCTTTTCTCATTAGACAGTTAAACAGTAAGATTTTAATAATCTGTTCTATAGTAACCCTTTTAATTACATTATCAAAGACTACCTTTTCCTACTTTTCCTCTGTCTGCGCCGCTCTGTCTGCACCGCTGTCTGAATTTTTGACTTTGCCACTGTATCTGTGCTGCTCTCTCTGTGCTGCTCTGTCTGTGCTGCTCTGGCCGAGTGTATGATCTGAATTTTCCATCTAATGTTGCATGTTTTGTGTGTTTTGTTTTGGAAATAATATCTGAAGTGAGCGCTCCTGCAGGCGGCTCTGTGCTTCAGTCACACTAACAGATTTGCACACTGAGCTAAATCAGACTGCAGTCAGGACTCTCCTGCAGCCTTTAAACCTTTTCATCTGCAATATTCAGTGTAGTTCGATTGTTTATCTTCCAGTTTTCAGTCTCAGATGGTTTAGAGCAGCTCTTCATCTGATCAGAGTAACGAGCACTAAAGTGGACGCTTCCAGAGACTTTATCAGACTGTAGATCGAACGCTGAACTCTGTACATTGAATATAGTACATTAATATTGAAGGTGCCAACAAAATCTGGATCTGCAAACAAAGCTCATCTGCTGACCAGAGATTTTATTCTGGAGCAGAAATGATCTCTGTATAAATCGGTGGTCAGTATTAAAATCTAGAACATGATTAGGGTCACAGTGCTGCAGGATCTCCATAATAAGCATACCTCTCTCTCTCTCTCTCTCTCTCTCTCTCTCTCTCTGCCCCCCTTGAACCCTCCCACAGAGAGGATGTTCCTCCTCCTAAAAGTCGGATCTCCACGGCGCGGAGCTTCACCAGCGTGGGCAGTCAGCGTTCCTCTCTGGGCTCCATGTCCCCCTCCAACCTGCACGAGTACACCAAAGCCCAGTACGACAAAATCCCGTCTGAGGAGTATGAGAGGCCCCCTAGCCATGCCCCCCAGCCCCCTAGCTTCGCCCCCAGCAGGATGGCCGCACCCAACCTGAGCCGCATGGGGGCCATTCCGGTCATGATCCCGGCACAGAACAGGGATGGGTCCATCGTGTAAGGCTGGGGGCCAGTTGGGGGGTGCAGTGCCAGTGTCACTATGCCAGCCTGACTGTCCGGAGTGGCACTGACTGCAGCACAGAGCTTCTCAATAAAACACACTGTGATCTTCCAGAACTTGAGCAGATCTGTAGAAACTCTGAGAAGATCATCATCATCCACTTATAAGATCAGTGAAGGTGGACTCGTGTTCGGTTCTGTAAATAGTACACATGATTTTTTATTTTATTTTTTATTTTTTACTTTGGTGGTCCTTTGTAGTGAGAGATGTTCTAGCTGACTTAGGGACTCAGTTCTTCACCTGTGAAAAATCTAGAACAGTGAGATGTGAAATAAGAACTACATTCCAAACTCAAAATGATTTTATTTGAAACCTTATAAAGTCGCATTTGCCCTGATTGCTTTTTTAAAGTCCCCCCAAATTAGAATGATCAAGTTTTATATGAAGGTCACTTTACACTTGGTTCTGTAGGTTCTGCTGTAGAACATTCAAATCAACTGAAATGTACGGAGAATTGTGTAAAGTTTTTCCTTAATTCACAAATGCTTCTCTGATTTTCTAGTTTTACCTGTAGGTTTACCTGAAATTTTACCTGTGGGTTCACCTGTAGGTTCTCCTGTGGGTTTACTTGTGAGCTGTTTGAGAGCTCCAGTTAGTGAGAGCTGATTGGTCACCTGTTTATGGTTAGTGCTAAATCGGAGGTCATGTTCAGACTCACTGAGCGATCTGATTTAATCATGTTTGACTGCTCAGATGTGACCAGGCCAGACTATCTGATCCCTGAAGCCTCCGATTAAGGCACTGTTCTCACTGAGATCCTTGAATGAAATACTTTATCATTATTGAAGTTTTTATTTTCTCCGGTTCCGCTGCTCTAGAAGATGAGGGACCTTTTCTGAGGTTATATGAAGTGTTTGTAGGAAATATAAGTGATATATATAAGTGATCACTGTGGAGGCTGGAATCAGCCTCGCATCAGTTATTCTCTTTAGATGATTAATTACGCCAGTAAACTTGAGTAGGAATCTTGCGACTGAGGTTCTTGAGGTTCTGGAACAGTTCCTGTTCTAGGTCAGAGAACCTCACCGCTCCCATGGTCAGTGTAGAGCGACAGAGCACTGTTAGTGATGGGAGATCTGCCGAACTCACTCCTGGTGCCTTTTCTTCTCTCTGGCTTTAATGAAGGTGTTTCACAGCACATATTTATTCAGAGTTTAGTTACTGATTAATCTCCCGCTGACTCGATCCTCATAACGCTGAACAGAACAGTGGTGTAAACTGATAGTGACACACGGAGAACCTGGTCTTGTGCTCAGTAGTAACTGCTGACTCGTACTGATGAGATCTTAAAGGGCTCATATTGTGGAAAACTGAATTTGCCTTACTTTTATGAAATAAGAGATTAATGCAGTTTGGAAACATTATTACAGTGTCACAATGTTCTGTTCACTCCAGCGGCCTGATTTAAATTCACTGTTTCTGTGACGTCACAGAAACCAACACATTTTATATACAAATACATGCAGCAGTTTTGCCCCTGTGTAAGCCTGTTTATTGTAGATACAGTCAGTCAGTCAGTGCTGCAGCTGAACTGCAGCATCAGTGATCAGCGTCAGTCACTCTATCACTGTTGTTCTTTTACACAGCAGCTTCTCAGCTTCTGTTTATCCACAGTTTCTGTTTAATCTGCAAATAAACATATTTACTGTTTTTAACAGGATAAACAAGTCTCTCCCATAAAACACAGTTCTCCAAAACGCTGTCCTGTCCTGAAAACTAACACACACACACACGCACACACACACTGTGGGGTGTTAGTGCTGATTTGTGTTCCTGTGCAGTTCAGTGTGTTATTACAGTGTAATAAACAGCACTGCTGTGATCTGAGCTGATTACAGAGAGAAATTAAACTCTTCACTGATTAAATTAACTGTAGCTCTTCAGCCGAAAACTAATATTATAAACTCTGTTTTTCTTCTTCCAGTTTGTTTTTTTTGCACATTTATGTAAAAACTTCAGTTTCTGATCTTTTGTTTGGTTTTTTTGGTGACATATTTTTAAATAAAAAGAATCAAAATGACCCAAAATGACCCTTTGTCTTCTGAGTTTCTCTCTGTCCCTCTCTCTCTCCCTCCCTCTGTTTGTTTTCTCCCTCTCTCTGCTCTCTCTCTCTCTCTCTCTCTCTCTCTCTCTCTCTCTCTCTCTCTCTCTGCCCTCTCTCTCTCTCTCTCTCTCTGTTCTCTTTCTCTCTGTTCTCTCTCTCTCTATCTGCTCTTTCTCTCTCTCTCTCTCTCTCTCTCTTCTCTCTCTCTCTCTGCTCTCTCTGCTCTATCAGGGTGATTAATGTTAATCTGTAGGTGATTGTTCTGTAATGCGGTGATTAATCAGAGTGCAGTCAGAGCTCTAACTGACCTTCAGCTGTTTCAGGACGGAACTGGTCCTCTGTTCTCTAAGCAGTTCAGGTGTGTTTGGCCTGAACAGAAGTTCAGTTCTAACTATAGTTATCAACACTGTAGTTTTCCAGATCACCTCTGTTCCTCAGTGGAGGACCCTGCCTGTTCTGAGTGGAAATATGGTTCTGTTGCTTCTAGCATGTTCAGAGCTGGATCTGTTACTGCAGCAGGATGTGCTGTTGTGGAAATGATGGGCTGAAATGTAAATCCTGCATTAAATTACACAGAAATATATTTATTAGTGTAAAATTATTAATGCAGTGCAGTTAATAAAATGCAGATATTTCAGTGCAGTAAATACATTATTACAGTAATTAATTCAGTGCAGTGCTGAATGTTCTGCTCTTGTGGAGTTCAGTAAATGCCGTCATCATCATCACTTTTCAGCAAAACCAGCAGAGACTGAAGGCACCTGACTGGATCTCCTCCTCCACAATAAGATTCAGCAGCATCTTCTTACTGTGTGAATATAAAGAGGAGATCAGGATCAAATCACTGACAGCAGTTACAGTCACAGACCAGCACAACATCAGCTCCGCAACAAAGATCCTCCTCCAGCTTAACACAGCAAAAACATCAGCTCCGCAACAAAGATCCTCCTCCAGCTTAACACGGCAAAAACATGCCAGCGCTCAGATACACAGTGTTACAGGAACTGTTACATGTGAAACACGTATTTGTTTTTTTTTTGTGTTTGTGTCTCTCTCCTGGTCTCTTCCATCACAGAGGTACCTGCTCTGCAAGCAGTCATGTGAGGAGGACCTCTAACCAATCAGAGACGTAGCTGGTGCAGTTGGGGGAGTAGCCTATGTTTTAAAACAGGCCTTTAAGATGGCTGAAGAGAGAGAGGACTGGTCCTGTGTTTCAGTTTGTTTTAGTCTTGTGTTGGCAGTGGGCTTTGCTTTAAGTATTTCATCAGAACTTCTTTTAACTCAGTGTATGAGTTTGTCTCCTGTTAGGGGACGTGCTTTTGTTTGGTATTTTACCTTCACAGTTTTAACGTTTTAAAAGACATTATTTGTACCTCCTGGGGTTTCAAACAGGTAAGAGGGGCGCCTATACATTTGCACCACATTGAAGTCTGCTCTATCGAGTTCCCCAGGTCAAAGGGCATTGCCACAGGTAGTTTTGATCACTGGCCGGGGAAGTGTAGAGTAGTTAGCTTTTGTTTCCTTGTGTAGATTAGCTAAATTATGTTGTGAGGATTTGTTTTGTTCTTTTCTTTGGTGCCGTCCACAGTTTGACTCTTCCAGTGTGGTACTAGATATCATAGCACAGCAGTTTATTATGGTTGGTTTTAATAAAATGGCTTCTAAAGCTCTGTTGGTTGGTTCTTCCAGCTTTTAATCCATCATCACCAGTTCAGTATTTTAACGGCAGATGTTACTGATCCCACAGCCCCCGAGACACAACATGGGGTCAAACGTGCAGTCAGTAACAGTCAGGAACTACAGCAGTCATCTCTGTGTGTCAGTGTGTGCCAGTATATCTGTGTCTGTGTATCAGCATGTGTGTCACTGAGTGTATCAGTATGCCAGTGTGTGTGTGTCACTAAAGGTTGTGGCGCTGTGCAAAATGTAAATAAAAACAAAATGCAATGATGTGCAAATCATTTAAACTCTATATTTAATTTAAAATAGTACAAAAACAACATATTAAATGCTAAAACTGAGAATATTCATTGTTTTTAAAACAATTTGCCCCTTTTCATGCCAGCAACACTTTTCAAAAAAAAGGCAGGGGCAAAAAAAGACTGAAGTTGTGTAATGCTAAAAAACACCTGGTGGAACATCTCACAACTAATGTGTGTAACAGCAGGTCAGTAACATGACTGGGTATAAAAAGAGCGTCTCAGAGAAGCAGAGTCCTTCAGAAGTAAAGATGAAGAGGAGTTCACCGCTCTGTGAAAGACTGCACGATCAAATAGGGTAACAATTAAAAAAATATTTTTTTATGTTTCTCAATGTAAAATAGCAAGGAACCTTTGCTTTTCATCATCTACGATACAAAATAACATTAAAAGATTCAGAGAATCTGGAGAAATCTCTGTATGTAAAGGACGAAAACCAGTATTTGCTGGCTGTGATCTTTGGGCCCTCAGGCAGCACTGCATTAAAAACAGACATGATTCTGTAGTGGAAATCACTGCATGGGCTCAGAAACACTTCTGAAAACCACTGTCTGTGAAATCAGTTCATCACTGCATCCACAAATGCAAGTTAAAACTCTAAAACGCAAAGAAGAAACCAAATATAAACAGGATCCAGAAACACTGCCACCTTCTCTGGGCCTGAGCTCATTTAAAATGGACTGAGGGGAAGTGGGTTAGTGTCCTGTGGTCCAAAAAAAAATATATATATATTTTTGGAAATCATGGATGCTGCGTCCTCTGGGCTAAAGAGAGGAGGGACCATCCAGCTTGTTATCAGCACACAGTTATAAAGCCAGCATTCATGATGGTATTGGGGGGGGGTGCATTAGTGCACATGGCATGGGTGACATGCACATCTGTGAAGGCACCATTAATGCTAAACGATATATACATGTTTTGGCATCATATGCTGCCATCCAGACGACATCTTTTTCAGGGAAGGCCTTGATTATTTCAGCAAGACAATGTAAAACCACATTCTGCATATATTACAGCAGCATTGCTCCGTATTAAAAGAGTCCAGGTGCTAAACTGACCTGCCTGCAGTCCAGACCTGTCACCACTGAAAACATTTGGAGGGTTATAAAATGAAAAATATGACAAAAGAGACCCTGAACTGTTGAGCAGCTGAAATCCTGTATCGAACAAGAACAGGAAAATATTTCACTTTCAAATCTACAGCAGTGTCTCCTCAGTTCCCAAACACTTACAGAGTGCTGTTAAAGAAGAGGTGATGAAACCCAGTGGTAAACATGCCCCTGTCCCAACTTCTGCACAGTATCCCAACTTTTTTGGAAATGGGGTTGTATTATTATTATTATTATTATTATTAAATGATTATTACAAACAACCTCTCAACACACACACACACACAATCCCACACCATCATACAGAGAGAGAGAGAGAGAGCAAGCGAGGGAGAGAGTCTCTTTTCTCTGTTTTACTAAAAGCTGCAGTTCTGATTTGGTGAGTCTGGTTTTCTGCTCTGTTACACTCACAGAGGGATTTTTACATTTATAAGATAAATCACCTTCTTCACTCTACGTACAACCAGATAACGTTGCTGTGGAAACATCCAGCATGCAACCAATCAGCATTCAGCACCTCCCCCCGCACCTCCCCCCAACCTCGCAAACAATTAATACCTTCAGCAGGGAGAGAAAGAGACAGAGAGAGAGAGAGAGAGAGAGAGCTGGGCTAAATGTACCGACTCTGTGGGGTTTTAAGCTGAAGGACAGTCTACATTATGTGACTGTGTGTGTGTGTGTGTGTGTGTGTGTGTAAGTAATGAATGTTACACACACTGTCTTTTCCTATAAATTCACTCGGGTGTCTCATTGGCTCAGTGCCAGTAAACCTTCCTCACATCAGCATAATTAGAATAAACAGTAAAGAATGTTTTATTTATTTGTGATGTAATGAATAATTTCAGACTGAGGCAGTTTAACACTCAGAGCGACTGTTCACTTTAAAAGAGAAGAACCACGTTCAGAAACACTGGAACAGCTATTAACCTAAAACAGTTCAGCTCACAGATCAATAATAATCCAGCCAAAAATCATTGCACAGCAGATAAACACTCATGCTGAGGACCACAGCAGGACCACTGATCCAGATAACAAGTCTCAGATCAGTCTGACTCTGTTTCTGTCTTAGTCTGACTACCAAAACCCAGATTAATCACAGTCTGAGTATCTAAACCCAGTTTACTCACAGTCTGAATATCTAAACCCTGTTTAATCACAGTCTGAGTATCAGAACTCGGATTAATCACAGTCTGAGTATCTGAACCCAGTTTACTCACAGTCTGAATATCTAAACCCCGATTAATCACAGTCTGAGTATCTGAACTCGGATTAAACACAGTCGGAGTATCTAAACTCAGTTTAATCACAGTCTGAGTGTCTAAACCCGGTTTAATCACAGTTTGAGTGTCTAAACCCGGTTTAATCACAGTCTGAGTATCTAAACCCGGTTTAATCACAGTCTGAGTATCTGAACTCGGATTAAACACAGTCGGAGTATCTAAACTCAGTTTACTCACAGTCTGAATATCTAAACCCCGATTAATCACAGTCTGAGTATCTGAACTCGGATTAATCACAGTCTGAGTATCTAAACCCTGTTTAATCACAGTCTGGGTGTCTAAACTTGGATTAATCACAGTGTGATCACACACTTCAGTATTTTATATCTGTGTTACTTCCTGTTTTTTCCATTTAGTTCAGCTTAATTAAGTTTATTGTCATTATTCATATTCAGGGTTCAGCTGCTTCTCTGCTGCAGAAACACTGACATGGACACGAGTGAATATGTAGTAGTTTGATGACAAACTGTACGTTTACAAAAA